CTCCTGACAGCCTCCTGACAGCCTCCTGTGAAGCCTGAGGAACAAAATCAGCCACTTTCCGTGATGGGCGACTTCTATACGTTTCAAAATATTCAACGTTTTGACTTTCAGCTCCTGCTTGCATTTGAACATATTTAAAAAGTATAATGCCATTAAAGATCATTTTGGATTAGGGTGTACTATGTTTTGTTTTGTGGTATAGAGGAGGATTATCTATACTTCCTCGTGGATCATCAAGTCTAATGGTCCTCCGAATTGTCAATCGTTCTGGTGATATGTGCTTGTCAAAAAATTACAGTTTTGTTCAAAAAGTGGAGAGGGCAGTCCTTTCCTAAACAATGGGGAAATCCTCCAAAATACCTTTAATATGTTTAAATTAGCTACAATAAAGATTAAAAAAAAAAAAAAATTATTTAAAATTCTTCTGACCGGTAGCCTGAACGAAAGGAGAACTCAAATGCAGGACTGCGATAATACAAGATTTAATCAACAAACTTAACAAGATCCAAGGGTCTAAAAGAAAGAGGAAAAAACATGAATGAAAACACAATGGACCGCTGACAAGAGGAGAGCAGCACAGGTCATAAATACTGACAGGGAGACACAGGTGAGAGTGAGGGAGGGAGGGGGAGACAAACAGGAGAAAAACTCAAAAGAACCAACATGACAAAATAAAACAAGGAAAAAACAATAAATAAAAGTCCACACCACGGCCTAATGATCGATAATATAATACAAACGCATCTATAGTGTTGTGTTTGGGTGAAATGGGGTGGAGTGTCAGGGCAAAAGAAAATAATTCTTACTGAAATCTAGATTCTCACTTTTCTAGATGCAGGGGAATTCAAAGTCCCCTGTATCTCGATACATATCGTACCATGTACTATCAACATATGTATCATATCGGCCGGCTCTGGAGGATCCATTTTGGACATTGTTGAATCTCCAATAGGTGTCCTCTTTAGATATATTTCTTTTTTAATATATTTTTATTGATGTGCAAAATTTCAACTCAATCGTACAGGGTCAAGTCAAATAAACACATCATTCTATTTTTACAAAATAAAAGAAGCAAACAGCTAAACAAATTAAACAAAAAATTATAAAACAAACATAAAAAATCTAAGTAGTTAAGTAATAATAAACAAACAAAACCAGACAAAAACAGTTGGGGGGGTTAATGTTTAGAAAAAAAAATCAATAAATGGTTGCCACTTTCTGGAAAAGTTTTCTGTCAGACCACTATATCGAATCTTTTCAATTTTCAAAAAAGACATAACTTCCTGCATCCAATTTGTGCTGGATGGTGCATTTGTTGACTTCCAATTCATGAGAAGATGACGCCTTGAAATGAGAGAGGTGAATGCTAGGATCTGTAACTGAGTAAGTGAGAAGTTAAAGTAATTATCAGGGAGACCAAAAAATTGCCACATGAGAAGAAACATCAATGTTCTTTGAAAGCACTTTGGACATAGTGTGAAAATAGGTTTGCCAAAATGACCCGAGAGCAGGCCATGACTCTTTAGATATTTTTGCACAATGGCGGGTTCCTTTTCGCTGGTCGCCACCATTATAATCTTGATGATTGGTCTCTGGTTTTAAAACTGCTGCTGCTCCAGTGAGACCTCCACTGTGAATGAGAATATTCAAAAGCGGTGGTTTTCAAATCAACAACAAAAAGTGTCAAAGGAGCCAAAAGAACCCAGAGAAGGCTTTCTGAGAGTGGCATAATGAAGCCAGAGCTACATAAGCAGATTCAGAGAGGAGGACCGTGACCTAATGTGGAAGAGCCATCTGGAACAGCACGAGGAGATGAGGCACTGGGAAAGAGCATGGCCTTTTGTTGTAGCAGCCAAATGATGTCTTCGTTTGTGTAAGACGTATGGCGTGGGCTCCTTTAATGTACGAGTCACACAGTATCCAGTTTCGAGGTCTTCTAAAAAAATCTCGATTAAAAAATAATAATAATAATGTTTTGACAATTTTGAAAAGTAAGAAAAGTAAGTGTTCTACCACCCACATGTTGTTGCAATCTTTAGGTGATTATAAGTTTTTGTGTTTATTATTTAATTATAATATTGTAAGTTGAAATGCCACGTAAGCATGGTAATACAATTAATCAAATCTTGGTAAAAATAGGACCGGTTGAAAGCTACAAACCTCCAGGCCTTCTTAACTAAGCTGCACAAGAAGATCTTATTTAAAATGACTTCATTCACTTTGTCTACAGCCAACCTGTTTTTTCGGTTTAGGACGGTCTTCATCAGAGCATACAAGTACAAGTGAAACAGGACCTTAAATGAGTGATTCAGGGAAATGCGTATTTTAAAACAATCTCAATTAACATATTCTCAATTTCAATTCCGTTCAATTTATTTTGTATAGCCCTATCTCAAAACACTAGTTATCTCGGAGGACTTTAAATGTCGTCGACTCGCCAACACAGATCAGAGAATGAAACAGTTCAAACACAGGATATGTGATGTTAAAAAACAGATCCTTGAGAGGCAGGTGAACAATGTCCACATTTGTTGAAAAAAGTCCATAAATGTCATTGAATGTTGGGTGTCTTGGATCCTCACCACTGCCCTTAAACACACACACATTGGCAAGGAGAAACTCAAAAGAACAAGCTCAGTACAAGGAGAATTTAATATAGTATACAAAGAGTTTGTTAAAAAGAAAGGATTATTTTAATTGGCTATTCTATCCCAACCCCAACTATAATTTCCCCAGACTACTTAGATTGCTGTTGAACAGATATACTCACAGTGAATACTTTAGTTCAAAAGCTGTTGTTACAAAGTGCAATCGAGCTGCTTTTCTTTTAGTAGTTGCCAACTGCTTGTCTCCATGGTGATGTTTTCAATGCATTAAGCTGTCCATCAATCAGCTTAAACTGGTGTTTTATTTCATCGTCTCCATACAGATGTTGTGTTCTGTGTCTTTAAATGACACTTTATCTCATGAGAAAAATCCATTGAAAATAGACATAATTGATTAAATGAAAGATGGCGTTTCAAGTTTACAAAGCATCATCGTGTATTCTGGAGACTGGAGCAGGCAACCTCCACCAGAGAATCTACTGCACCGTGTGCGTTTTTCAACCTGAGAGTAGCATCTGTGAGTGACCTCTTTGCACGTCTGACCAGTAACATCCCACTGGTGCCGCTTGTCTCTATAGATAGACAGGTTTAATGGGAAATACAGGAGATTCAAAAGAAGTTGAATGGGCTTTTCTCTGCAGACTAGCAAGGGGCAGAGCCGGAAAAACAGAGGGCGAAGAAGCCAAAAAGCTGTGTGGGAGATGGAAAATAGAATTTTTTTAACTAATCAACAAATATGGTTTACCTTTTCATGCAGCAGGACAAGAAGGACAATTATAATGAATATGACGAGCCACATTCATTGGATAAATATTCAACACAGATTTTTGGTTAAAAAAAATTGTTTCTGAACAATGAAATACAGGTATTTTGAATCAAAATATTCCAAATTTTTACATCCATCCAATTTCTTCCCCTTAATCCATTTCTGGGTCACATAGCACCAGCCCCTCACTGATCCTCCTGCAGGTGGGGAGTCCACAGGAGCCGAGATCTTTTAGCGGCGGGGGCTTCGGTTAAAGTGGGGTTAAGTGTCTTGCCCAAGGACACAACAACAGCAGACATCAGTGGGAGTTCATGAGATTGTTCATCAGAGTCGAAATGTTTGCAAGTCCACTCACAGTGAAGTGAGTGAACACTTCTCTGTGAATACTGCAGTAATAGCTAAAATCCTACGGCTCAGCTGAATGTTAAGATTGAGAGTGTACTGCTTATTCTCTTTAATAATACATTTCAGTTGTGTTTGATTATCCTGTTTGAGTGCTCTTTTTTACCATCCTGCATATGCTCAACTTTATGGCATTCAAAAAGTTCTAATTTGAGTCTATTACTAAACGCTAATGCTGTCTGTATCCTGTTTATTGGTAATTTATGAAAGGTTTTTATATCCTATAATAAAAATCCGTACTATTATCTATCTCCCCATTAAACAAACAAAAAAAAAACTCTAAAATTACACATGTTTATTTTTCAGCTAAAAAGTTCCATTCACTTTGAATAATGCATGGAGAGTTTTTGTAGACGTTAAAATCAAATACATATTTACATATAACATTTATCTTGAGCGTACAAAAACCTGAGTGGCTCAAGCCAGGGGGTGGAATAAATTTGTATGATTTATGGGATTTAGGACCAGGTCAAAAACACAGTATTTGCCATTTCTATTTCATGCAGTCCCTGTGAGCTCCATCTGTTGCCCTGAGTAGATTAAAACAGGGATATGAACACTGAAGTCCCCAACAATAGACCGTCATCACCCCATGTGGCTCCACTCGTGTCTGGCCTCATTGTATAGTTTAATACTGGCATTTTTTATTTTTTTCCTCCAAATTGCATCATGTCCCCTGAGCTGTAGAAAACGTGATTCCGTAATTGAGTTTTTCTTTACAAGAGGGGGACATAATCTTGTTGTGTCATGCTAGGATGCAAATAATCCGCGTGTCTCCCTCGCCCTGCAGCTGCATGCGCGGAGCCTACACAGATGTTTTACGCACGCGGGCATAGACGCACGCACGCACGCACACATACATACATGCACGCATACGCACACACACGCACAAATACGCACAGACTTTCACGCATATGCACACACACGCTCATACACACAAACACGCGCACTTTCTCTCTCTGTCTCTCGCTCTCTCTCTTTTTCTCTCCCGCGTCACTGGATCAATCCTTGGGCTCTCAGCGTGTGCGCCCTGGCTGCTCCACTCTCCACACACGATGCCATGAGTGCGCGTCTCTCCTCTGTTGCTGGAGTTGAACCATGCGCTTTCGCCGCCCGTGTGGACCCGCCGCCGCTGCTGCCGCTGCCGCTGCTGCTGGAATGACCCTGACACCGACGAGAGGCACATTCACCAAGGGACTCAGCACTTGTGGATTTGCACCGCCGCGATGCCTTATTTGACCAAACCTGTGATTTCCCTCTGGGTCTTGCTCTTGTGTCTTCTGGCCACGGGGGGATGTCGTAAGCACGGCCACCGGGTGAAGAGATGGACCGGGAGCGTGGAGTCGCCCACACAGACCAACACTCAAACGCAGACGGTCAAACATGGCCCGTAAGTATAGCCTAACATTATTATACAGATAAAATACGTATACTTCCATTGTATCAACTTTTAAGCTGTCAGTGCGTAATAGTGAAATGCAAGTTATATACATCCAACTTCCTGATACATACATTCTAGGACTTTTCATGACACAAAAAATATAGCTTGTTATGTATGTGTTTGCTTACAACTGCTTATCTTTGTCCTTGTGAAGTTACTTGTCAGACCCAATCTTTCCCAAACAGTATTATAGTGTGCCAACATTCTCTGTCTGATCTATGAGCGCACATATATCAGCATTGCTCTTTTCGCGCGCAATTGTTTTCCCGTCTCTCTCCCAATGATTCTTTGTCACACTTGCGCAAGGTGTGGTCGTAAACGTATTTTTGGGGGAGGCCTATGGCAGACAAGGCACAGAACGGCGCGTTCAGCTGGGGCGCTCCATACGCAACAGTTGAGACATCCTGTTCTCTCTATTACAACTTCACCTCCCGTGCGTCTTAGGTGCCATACAGAGTGAAAATAAGTCGGATGAGAGAAACGAGGCGTAAAGGTCACCCCCAACTGTGCCTCATACACCCCATAATACAGCCAGTGACCGTGCAGGGACGTATAAGAGCAGTGTTAAGTGGTGGTGACAGCAGTGCGCCCGCTTCATGTAATCTCAACGCGTTTTACTTCTGCCTTTACGCACGCATCTTGGCACTGGCAGTGATGTAGCCACTTAAAACGACTTGCTGCTCAGCCCAAGGACACACAATTGACGGCATAAAACACATAGTCGTGTCTGCCACACAGAAATTGACCTCCTGTGGTCGCTGCGTAAGAAAGAATTATGACTCAAGTCGCAGGAGCATATTGGTTTTGCGTGGTGGGAGTGAGGGGCAAGGGTCTCATAAACTTCCCTTATATATGGTTATAAATATGTTAATTCAAGGTTTGATGGTGTGAAGGTACTCAGGGCAAGGCAGGATGCATCATTTTAGATGACTTTCCCTGAGTTGACAAGTGTCTAGGTTATAGTCCATGGTTAAGTCATAATTTAGTCTCTGATGTATCATGCCTTAGTTTTGTCCTAAGTCAGGTTTCTGACTTTGAGCTTCTCCTCAAAGGGGAAGTACAAACTCAACTTTAAAGAGCTTTGGATTATTTTTAGTGTACTCTTTTTATTTATCCTTTCAAAGTGGATCTTGCATGTTTGAGTAATTTCATTTCTTGGGTTTCATGCAAAAGGTTAGTCTGTCATCTGAAGGACTGTCTAAGGACCCCATCCCATTCAAAGGATATGTTTGAATCTGAAATGCTTAGATGCCGAGATGACTATTTTCACAATTTTTTACTTATTTTCGTATGAATTTGTGATTAAAAACGTAGTGTATTTTGTCACAAGCAAGGAAACAAAACCAGTGTACGCGTGATCTGCTGCAACGCATCTGCACAGTGAAGTGATGGTCTTTCAATGACACTGAATTCATCATTATTCTCATTATTGATAGTTAAAATGTTCAAATCATAGTTTTATTTTATCAGTCCAAGGCAAATTGCGTCTTCATGAATACTTTTAGTCCAATCCAATGGTCTATATTACTATCTATGTACATTTATGTATTTGCCTTTGGTGAAGAAAAGTTGGTATTTTGTGGGTAAATCATATGTGGTTTTATGCATAATGTGATTTTTACAGCTCTACAATGTCAGGATATTTCAATTTACATCACGAAGGATCAGCAGTACACACGCAACAGCTTTGTTTAATGCTGCAACATGATTTAGTGCAAAAGCAAAAACCCCAATTATGTCCTTGGACACATGCAGGCTTCCACTGTAATATCTATTAGAGTCCTGGCCATTGGGTCCTGGAAGCAGATATAGATAAATAGAAATAGTGGCAGACAGATTCCGTTAACTGAAGTTGAATTTGCATTTCAACAATTCGTCTCCAGTGAGTCAAGTGAACTCGCTGTGTGTGACTCTTGTGTCTTCATTGAGACTTATTAAACCTGAAACTGAAGCAGCACTTATTCCAGTCATGATTATGTTGGGATTAAAATGCAAGACCATGGATCCCACTTTAAACTAGCCAACACCTCAACAGTCCCCGAGCTTCCTGTCTCTGTCACACTACGATCAAACTGATTTTAAATTTATATTTTTTTAAACATGTGCCAGTCCTGCATGCAAAGTAGCTCATTTAAAGTCAAATATTTGGCGGAATATTCAGACACTTACACCTACAGTATATTAGAGGCACGTTTGAACATACTTTTGGAAATGTGCTCTGGCATGTAGGATATTAGTGAATAATATAGTAAAAGTCTGTAAAAGTTCAAATGTATAGTTTTGTCCAGCTTCTTCTTTAATCCTTTGTTGTCAATCAGGATATGGATGGAGTAACGTTTTATCCAAAAAAAGAATGATATTGCTCCTACATCTTAGAACATCAAAACAAAGAAAACAATATATTGCTTTCTTCAAGAAGTGAACATTAAAGTGTTAAAATCCTGTACATGCTTAGTTTGAGATCTTCACTGTTTTGTTCATTCACAAAATCAAAAGGACAGATTATAAACCAAAACCCGCAGCATAATATTTGTTTTTAAATTCATTATATTCAAATCATCGATCAGTCTTTTGACACCATTCTGGCTTGCAGCATTAGAACACTCAAGCGATGATGGCTGAACAAGCATCTGTTCTATTCAAAATCACCAGTTTCCAGCATAGATAGTGATCAATTTGGACTATCGTTGCCATTCATAGTTATTGGCTCTGTTTCATGTAGATCCCATGAGCTGCGATGGGTGGTCACTCCAACAGTAAAAATGAAACAATCAACCTGGCAACTCCCCCTGCGCATGCGCCAAGCAGTGTCATGTGACCAAGCTGGATCTGCACTGGCACAAGATGGTGGCTGTTTGAAAAAAAAATTGAGTTGAGTTGCAAAAAGCCAAAGAAACCAGGCTCTATTTCCATCTCCGGAGCCAGAGCCAGAGTTTGAGTTTCAGCCTATTGTAAAACCAACCATCACTTATAAATCTTTCGTCCCAACTGGTATTAGACTGCTGAAGTCTCTGTAGCTTGTTGGTGATATGGTCTTTAGTGTGTGTTGGAGCTTGTTTTGTTTTTATATGTTCATCAGTTTGTATGGGCTCCTCTTCATTTCGCTTCTGGGTGATTTTTTTTTAACATTTCTTGTGTTTTTGTATCTGTTTTCTATGCTCTGTGCTTCTAAAATGAATTGGCCCCTGGTGGGATAAATAAAGTAGTTTGAATCTGAATCTGGGCACTACAGACATGGAGCTCGACTTGATTAAAATGAAGTTGGAAAGATGGTTTTTTTCTAATGCAATTCAAATCCTTGATCGACAGCTGAGGCCATCGGTCTAATTATTCTCCTCCAGCAAATCTTATTGGTGCTGCTTATTCCATGGCGAAGGGCTCTTTTAAATATGTTAATAATAAAAAACACTTAACAATGATGATACTGCAGGGTCACATGATCAAAAGTACGCATATCTTATCTTATCTAAGTGAAATAGAATTGACATTTCACATTTAATTCATGAGTTTGAATGTCGGTTCAAAAAAGGGTCGGTGCAGCTACAGGTTTTAGTTGCAAAGCTGTGCACCCAACCCTCCACCCATTTCCTCAAATCTTTGGGGCATAATCAGTTGGGGCGGGTCCCTTCTTAAAAACGTCCATGAACATATGCGCTGATACTTGCAATACCACTCCGAACCAGTAGGGGTCGACCCAGAAATATAATTACCCAATGCATTTGTATGGCATATTCTTTACAGGATGGTCCATAAGTCGGCTTTTGGCCCAAAGCGACGTTCCAGATGTGTGTTGATGCTGAGGAGAGTATATTTTATAAGTACCACTCTAGATTAGCCGCTGTAGACTTCAGAAGCCACTAGTTAAATTAATGGGGATGGTAACGGCTAACACATGCGCCAATGCATTTTTTCCCATTTTCCCACGGGAGGGGCTGCCCACAGCCATTATGAAACTCCCGACAGAAGGCGGGGTCAGCACTAGATCATATACGGAATCAGGACGGAAGCGGAAGTAAATATAGCCAACTACCTAAACAAATAGATCCATGCCAAACTTAACCAGCCATTCCCATAGAATAACCCCAACCCACCCTTAACCCTGAACTTAACCATCTTAATCGCCTAAAACTTAACCAGTCACTACTTAAGGACCTGTAAGTCTAAAACTAATTGGAAAGTAGGATTGTTACTTCAGTTTCCGTCCCGCTTCCGTATATGATCTAGTGCCGACCCAGAAGGCGGGGACATTAAGTTTCAACTGCGGAGATAGGCGATACGTTCGTTAATATTTACAGTCTATGGTTAAAACTGGACTCACTTGATGAAATGGGTGGAGTATGGTGTGCTCTGGCTCAGGTTGGCTCTAAAACCTGCAGCCACACCGACCCTTTTATAACCGGTTTGACTCCCCTGACCTTAGATATATATGTTCTAATTGACATAGCTGAAAACAACATTTTAAATACAGTATTAATTGCGATGATTACATTTACATGCATCATCGTTCTGTTTTTCTATTCGACTGCTTCTATTGATCAAGCCTGTTGTATGATAGCAATAGCAGGAATAGCAGACACTTATTTATGGAAACAGCCAAACACAGTGGGCAGACCTCGCCGCCGCCGCAGCCACTCTGAGCATTCTCATTTATTCATTCGCACAGACGAGCGCTGATTCACGCAGCGTGTGGCCGTAAACAGCTGCAAAAGCCCCACTTTCTGGCCGATATACATGAAGAGCAATTATGAGACGGCGCGGCAGGTTTTGGGACCCCATGCAAAGATATCACATCCACTCCATGGCCAAAGGGGGAGCCAAGCCTTAATGTCTATTCCTGAAACTCCCTCTTCACACTGGGCTGCTCAATACTGACTGTGCTGCCAAAAAAAACCCTCTTGGATGTTTGAAGAAAATAGAAATTGCGCTGCAGAATAAATTTGTCTGCCTCACATGTTGAACCAATCCACTCAACCATTCATAGCTCTTTCAAACACGGAAAGAAGTAATTACACATAAGGTTGTTCATCACTATAATAATGCCATAATTGTGTCATTTGAAGTGACTGTACAGCAGAGATTGGCCAATATGAAAAAAAAGCTAATTTAATATGAATAGTGTTAAATCTGACCGCGCTGGCTAATTTGGCCTCATATGGAGGAAAATGAAAATCACATGTAATTAATATACTGAAAGAAATGGCTTCTGGACATGTTGGGGGAATAAAAAGTGTTTTCTGTGAAGTAGTTTCTGCTTTAAATGCACTGCTTGTTGTGGTTTCGGGGCAAGAACTTCAAATTAACTATTCATAAATTTGCCTTATATGTCCACTAACTGCGTGCCAATTATTCATAGAGTATATAGACCAGGGGTGTCCAAACTTTATAGAAAGAGAGCCACTTCAGTTCATCAGAGTTTACCTGGGGCCGACAACCTGGATGGAATTTAAAATGGGTTATAATACCACAAACAAGCACCTGTGTGTATTCCAGGGTTCATTTAACACAAAAATGCAAATATGGATCACTCACTGTTTTATCCCAATCACTTGGCTGCAGGCGATCTTATTCTGAGGAAATTTATGCATATTGTTTTGTATAAAAGTTGGGTTTATTTACAGAATGTATAGCAATATATATTTCAGCCTGAAAATGAATTGGGAAATTATCAAGAGAAAAAAGAATGATCAAACCACTTTTGGAAACTCCATATTATGCTCACTTCCACCACTTCCTACAACATAGCTTGGAATTAAATAAGGTTGTTGGCTGCTGTATGTCATTTTGTGAAACTTTGAATAACTATATTTGAAACTTTCCAATCCTGCAGCATACTGAGTCTCTGCACTACCACAAGTAGTGTTGCCCCAAACACATTTTAAAGAAATCATTTTGTGCCTCTAAATATTTAAGTTTTTATGCTTGTTACATCACAAAATGGGATACAGGAGATCATCTCATTTGCTTCAACATTTTATATCCACTATAGCTGCGAGACCAATTGAATCAAAGTCATTTTTAGTGATCCACGGTCTAAATCTCTTATCAAACAAACAGCAGCAATCTGAGGAGCTCTGTAAATGAGCAAAATGCTACCTAAATATAGACATCCTGCAATAACTAAAGTCAACTCCATTTTTCTATGTGTGCGTTTTCTTCTGTGAGTAACGAAAGTCTCCTCTCTTGCTTTACTCGCTCATTAGGTAAAGTATGTTTATAAAGCACTAGTGAAAACTGGATCATGCGCCGGCCTGGTCCAATTTTATTTGATAATTAGGGTTAAAATGTTTCTAATTTGGCTTTTACAACAAGTTTCCCATTCGCTCTCATTAAACTGGACAAACTGTGAGTGAGTTTATAATACCTGTCTCACTAGCAAAAGAAACACTCATGAGGTTTTCTCATTTGTTCACTAAACCTTACGTTATATATACATAATTTATCTCTAGGTAAATCTAACTCCAATGTTTTAGATCAGGGGTCCCGTCAAACCTCTGAAGCTACGCAGGGCAGGACCTGGTTAGTACTGAGATGGGAGACCTCTGGGAACACCAGGTGCCACAGTGATGGAGCACCTGCGGCTGTAAAGTGGCAAACTGTTATTGTGCCCTTAGGCAAGACACTTCACCCACGCTGCCTAGAATGAGTCTGTGAATGGTTGATGGTGATCGGAGGGGCCAATGGCATATACTGGTTGCCTCGCTTCTGTCAGTGCGCTCTATTGCAGCTGTGGCTACAGAGGTAGTTTATCACCACCGTGTTTGGAGGGATAGAATAATGACATGTGAAGCGATATATATATATAAAATAAATGTCTTATTAATGTTATTAAGAAGTAAGTATAAAGTTCAATACCCACTGTAACTTTTTTTACATTCAACTCTAAATTAATTAAGTAACCGTCATATGCCTAAAAACATGCTTTTAAAGCTGCACTAACTGACTTTATTTTTACATTAATTACAAAAATGCCCATCCATGTCCATGCAGTGCATTGGGATATACGTCCTTTTGAAGAAAAAGTAGCGCATGTTTGTGCTGGCGTGACATTATATTTTAGATCAAGTTTTGATGAACAAGGAAGAGAATGTGTTTCGGGTCGCAGATTGTGACCAATCACAGCGCACCACTAGCCCCCACTTTCGTGAGAAATCTCCAGGTCCGTTAGCACAGACAGCTGAGTTAGCACAACAAGCGGCGGAGCTAACCTGAAGCTTCCTCGTCTTCGTCACCGGTTACTGCTTACACAGCGAAACAGCCATCCAAAAGAAAGTCCCGTTCTTCCGCGCTTCCCGGTTCTATCGTTCTATGGTCACACCATCCACATGCAAATCCATGTCCATGTTTTATCCATATTGGGAGACGCTAGCTCCGTCAACAACTGTGGGTATGTGGGGGGCGATAGCTTCGTGGGTGCGGGGAGGGGAGCAGAAAGAGCGAGGCCAGCGAGTCCGCGGCTTCAGAATCCCAAAGTCAGTTAGTGCAGCTTTAAGTACCACAGCATGATTTTGAGCCATCTCTTGCCATATTCCATGTTAGCTGCAGTTGTGTTTTATATTTGCCAAAAAGCTCCTTCAATTTCAAGATTTCATAGTCTGCATCACATGTCCTAACCTTTCCCATCATGCAGCGCAACAGCAATTATCGCAGCAGGATTCCCTTTCAGCCCGTTCATTTATCTCCATCTGACAGCCAGTTTCTGCCATTGAGCCTCCGTCGAGCTCTTTGTGCTTTTGCATGTATTATGAATAGGCGTATTGTTTTGATCCTTCGAACGTGCCGCACGGCTCCAAGCAACAGGTTTGGCATTAATGAATCTGTGTGAATCTATGTTCAAAGACAAGTTTCCGGTCCACCTGCTGAGTCCATGGGTTTTCTCTAATCTTGATTCTTTTTGTGTCTTTTTCGTTTTGAAGTTCACTGGGCAAGAAGCCTCCAGATGTCACCAAGTCTCGCAAAGTCAAGACAGAACATTTGCTCAAAGTCGATGATCACGACTTCACCATGAGACCTGCTTTTGGAGGTGAGTGACGACAAGACGTGTTTTAAAAGACAAATCCTAGTATTGTAAAGTTGTCTGTTCTAGTGAGTCTCGTACTCTTCAAGTTAAAGTAAGAGAATGCAATTGAGAAGTGGAAAAAGTGGTTCCACAGGGGATTAATTCACTTGAAAATGTGAAAACAGTGCCACTTGAGAATTAGGCAAAGGCTAACCGTAAATGTAGACACGTTAAAATAGATAAAAGTCATAGTAATGCGATAGATTTATAGCTGGGCGGCACGGTGGCTGAGTGGATATCACTCCTGCGTCTCAGCAAAAAGGTCCTAGGTTTGAATCCTGTTCAGAACAGGGTCTTTCTGAGTGGAGTTTGCGTTTCTCCCCATGTCTGCGTAGGTTTCCTCCGGGTGCTCCGGTGTCCCCTACCACTAAAAACATGTACAATAGGCACAATCCTCCAGCTGCAGCACCTTTAGCCAATTTGATGTATTTGTATAGCATAATTTCATACGAAGTACAATTCAATGGACTAGAATTCACAGATACATCAAAACCAGTGCAAGTGGGCCGGTACATGCCAGAACATGGCAGTACTGTGTGGTCCCAAGAAGTACCAAAAATAGTTCTTGGGCCTATCGCCACCTCTCTGTGCACCAAGAACTTGCTTTTGGTGTACCGCTCTTTTGCACATCCCTTTTAATTCCTTGGCCCCGTTGCTGTTCAGAGCGCCTTTCACATTCCACGCTTTCTACTTCATCTCACCGAGAGCAGAGACTATACATTATCCATATGTTTTACAAGAGAATGGCGCATGCGTGACTTTTTCCTCTGTAAACGGCTCAACGTGATGCTTGTCCGCACCGATTTGCAAGTGGATTCCGCAGGTGTGTGATTCGTGCAATCATCGATCCTCGGTTAAAATCCAATGAACACTCAGCCTACTATGCTCTCCTGGCTTCGGAGAAGTAAAAGAGCAAGGGCAGAATCAGACAACTCGCTGACGCCAGAAGGAGATTGCTGCATGTCAGACGCAGGCAAATGAAGTAGCAACGAGGACGAGAGTGACGAGAGCATGTTGGTCCCGGGCACAAGTCCAGTATTTCTTCAAAACATATTTTCATTTAACTGCAATAGGCACCGCCACCTACAAAAGACAGTAGGTGGCGGAAATGCACCTTTAAGTTGAGTGCCACCCGCCAAAAAAACTGCACCAAGAATTTCACTACAATTATGCATTTTTTTCAGTAGCTCCTTCTAGCTCAAGCAAATCCCTAAACAAAAGTATATAAGGTTGTCTGTTGACTGAATAAAACTCCTTCAGGTGAAAACAAGTGTATTCCCACACATTTAAAACATGAGTAAATTCACCTGGGCCAAAAAAGAAAAGAAAAATAGTACCGGCACCTCTTTTGGGCCACTTAAAGCACTAATCAAAACCATGATACAACAAAATATTACAGTTATAAAATAAGCATACAATGTAAGATAAGGTACACTGGCATGTCCCTGTAGAGAAGTGTGTCCTCTGCATGTGACCCATCGCTCACTGCCACCAGGAGCAGTGGTCGGCTCCGTGCAGCCTCTGGGGACCCATTTCCAGATGTGATATAAATCATCATGTAATAAAATGTCTATTCCATATTATGTACAAATTAGGGCTGGGAATCACACACAAAAAACATCATTGGGATAGATTAGATTCGATTAGAGACAATTTAATAGTCATTACACAGTTTACCCTCTGAACAGATGTGCCACAGCGCACAAACCAGATCATATTTACAACACAGAGGTCCGTCTGGCATTTTTTGGTGAGATTATACCACATTAAAACTACATCAGTTAGTGTGGTATACCATGTGTGGCATCTGTATGGTCTATGGAGTCATACCTGTATAGTACCTGTACCAAAGTTCAGTTTTGGATTTGTCATTGTCATTGTTTATCAGGACTGAAAACAATGACAATAAAAAATAATTATGAATTGCATATGTATAGTCCCTGTGCTCCTCAGAGTCAGGTTTATATGGCACTAAAATGTCCCAGATGTACTTTGGAGCGAGGCCATGGAGAGACTTGTTCTCAAGCTGCTTTGGAGTCTTTTTTCTGAGACACAAGAAGTCACTGCAGAGACATATGTGCTATAATTATACATGATATTTATCTTTTGTGCAATTATTTTAAACGTTTTCTGTTCCCGTTAAAGAGTTTGTTACATAAAACACGTAACAAACGAATCTTTGTTTTATGTTATGTCTGTATAATAGAGTTTAGCAAGTTGACATTTAACAATAATAATAATAATAATACATTTTATTTAAAAGCGCCTTTCTAAACACCCAAGGACATAATAAAAACATTAAAAACAGGAGCAACCTGTTAGGTGGGATAGGACAGTCTGAACAGATTTTGAGTCTAGATTTGAAGAGTGGAAGAGAGTCAATGGTACGGAGGTCAGGGGGTAGAGAGTTCCAGAGCTGGGGGGCAGAACAGCTGAAGGCTCTGTGTCCCACGGTGATGAGTCTGGCTGGGGGGACGGAGAGTGTGAGGGTGGAGGAGGAGCGGAGTGTGCATGCAGGAGTGGCAGGGTGGAGGAGGTCAGAGGTTGTGAAGTACTTTGAAAGTGGTGAGGAGTATTTTGAAGATGATGCGTTGTTTAACAGGAAGCCAGTGGAGTTGTCGGAGTACGGGGGTGATGTGGTCAGCTGTGGGGGTCCGGGTGATGATGCGAGCTGCAGAGTTTTGGAGGAGCTGCAGTTTCTAGAGGGATTTGTTGGGGAGGCCAAAGAGAAGTGAGTTGCAGTAGTCAATCCTTGAGGTGACGAGGCTGTGGACGAGGATGGCGGTGGTGTGAGGGGTGAGAGAGGGGCGGAGACGAGAGATATTGCGCAGGTGGAAGTAGGCAGACCGAGTGATGTGATTGATGTGAGATTGGAAGTAGAGTGAACTGTCGAGGATGACACCCAGACTCTTGACCTGAGGGGAGGGGAGGACAGATGTGTTATGGATGGAGACAGAGAAGCTGTTAGATTTGGAGAGAGTGGAGGGGGTGCCTACGAGAAGGACTTCAGTTTTAGAGCTGTTAAGTTTGAGGAAGTTGGAGGAGAACCAGGAATGAATTTCTTGTAGACAGAGGGTGAGGGAGGATGGAGGGAGAGAGGAAGATGGTTTAGTGGAGAGGTAGAGCTGGGTGTCATCCGCATAACAGTGGAAGTGAATGTTGTGACGGCGTAGGATGTGACCGGGTGGGAGAATATAGATGATGAAGAGGAGGGGCCCCAGGACAGAGCCTGGGCCCTGGGGAGACAGGAAAAGTGCGGGATTTTTGGGATTGAGATAGATGTATTGTGAGCGACCAGAACGATAGGAGGTGAACCAGGCGAGGGGGGTGTGGGAGATGCCGGTAGAGGGGAGTCTGTTAAGGAGAGTGGAGTGAGAGCTTACTGTGATGTTAAACTGCTCTCTCAGCTAAGGCACGAGTAGACAGAGGCGTCCAAACCTTTTTCATGTCTTTGTGAACTGAAGTGGCAGGACTGATTTTGGCTGTTCTGGACTTTGAAAAAATATGTCAATATTTATTTACATTTAACAGAAATATGTTTTACTAGTGAATCGGGTGGCCTCCCTGACTTCCACCTCCCAATCGATTAAGGGGTAGAAAATGGATGCATGGAAAGTTTACTACTATTGACTATTGCACCTATAGAATTTGGTGACACAATTAAAAACTTTTCAATACTTTCTATACCAATAAATTAAACTGGATTCTATAGGTTCTGATCATTACAACAAGGTATGCCTCTATTGGTAGAGCTGAAGTTGGCTGGATCACCCCGAACTCGTGTTTATGATCTCAAAAACTACATTTAGGCTATATCCACACGAAGACAAAACGCTTATAATTTCAGAAACTTTTTCTGTAAACACGGAGTTAGCTCAGTAAATGTGTGCGTCCATATGAATGTAGTCAATACGCCTGAAAACGCTGTGAAACTATGCCAGACATGTTGGTGGCGCTGTGACGCAATGACGGGATCAAGCCCAAACTTCCGTGGGCATGCGCGGAATTTTGTAAACAGACAACATGGCGAGTGGGCGAGCTGGTACTACATTAGTATGGACGGACGATGAGGTTGAACTGTTGCTTCGGGTCACACTGGATTACAAAACCAACAAGCTACATTGTTGTTGTCATTATTTTCTGAGTGCGGCGCATGCGTGCTTTAACAAGAGGCGGGGCGATGACGCAAGCGTCTCAGATACATGGCGGAGAGGCAGTAACCACGGAGCGGCATATACGGAGTTTTGAAATCTTTCCACTCTGGGACCTGGTTTCAAAAATGTTCGTTTACACCCCCCCAAAACGCCGGCCTCGTATGGACGATACACTGGATTGATAAAGTATTTTTGTGTTTAGGCCTGTGCTTGACTTCGTGTGGACAGGGCCTTAGTTAGCTGCAAAGGGCCACATAAAATGATACAGAGGGCTTAGTTTGGACATGCCTGGTGTTGAGTTTGAGAAAGTAGTGAGCTGCTGCCAAAGGTTAAAACCATGTAATTGAGTTTTTGAAGCCACACAAATCCTTTTTCAATAATCTGACATTAGGTGCAACATATCACAGAACATAAACAAAGCAAACGACCAATACCGCTGGCCCCTTTCTCTGCCGTTATTACTCCATATCTGATTTTACGGCACTCAGATGAATACATTCCATTTTGGTAGCCCTTCTTCTCCGTCTCCCGGGGCAAAGCTTTGGGTCAGTTTGATTTAGTGGACCTGGTGGCTCCACGGAGACACTCAAACGCACCCTTCTACTCCCCTAGTTTGACTGATGCTTTTATCCCGTCTCAAAATGAAGTACAGCCCAAGCCACTTGCACAGAAAAATCGATACGTCCCAGGACAGAACGTAAGCGATGGAGAGGACAGAGACTCAATGTCCCCTCTGAGGATGACGCCAGCCGGGGTCGGAGCTCTGTCATGTGGGGGTTAGCGGAGTGGCTTCATCGCTCACAATTGATC